TAACATTGAGGAAACACCAACCTTAAAAGATGTACTCGATATCTGATCATTTCATTTTACTGAATTTTTGTGATGTAAAGGTAGCTTTACTTTCACTGGTTGCTTATTCACAACATAAAGTTTATAGGTGAGATTTTACGATGGGTTATTTATAAATACTCGTTTTCTTCGATAACAACTATCAGTAGCTTTGCTATTTATGTTTAAAGGAACCACTAAATTCTAGATAGATAGATAGAATCAATATAGACTAAAAATGTGTAAAAACAACAATCTGAACTTAAGTATTTGAATTTATTTTTATCAAATTTGTATCAATTACGTACAACTAGTATTAAAATTCACCAACAGTTAATGTAGACAAATGCTTGTGTACTGTAATAATGATCAGAGGAACCCAAAGAAGACTAGAGATGTCACAACTAACTGTCTTACTCACAATAAGTTTTTGGAATAGTAATAAATATTTTCTTTCAAGTAATTAATGACGTTTTATATATTCGAAAGCGATAGCCATAAAGATATTTATATAACTTGTGCTCACTTGCTTAGTCATTTTGAAAGGGTATCAAGTTATCTGCCTAGTGTTTTGAAGTTTTTAGCATGTTGTGAAGTTACACGATTAGGAGTTTATATTCCCATGAAATAGGGGCTTTCTAGAAAGTGTTCAGGAGATATGAGGCAGATTGCACGTTCTATTTTATTGATGTTTATACGATTTGAAATACACATAAGTGTATATACATAGTTGATTTTAATAGGGGAAAATAGTACCTGGTGATTCTTGATTGTGCTAATAAATATTGTGTTCTACATTAGCTAAGCAGTTTAGTTAAATATTACGTCTAGGCTGGTGAAGCGTTCGGCTTTTCGTTGATTGATCTAGTGACTATATCGTACTGAAAATTTATGTGAACGGTAACTTGTGTATTTTTTAAGGATGCAAATTTAACATTTGTCTTTATTCTTCACTCTGTCAAAAGTAATAATAGATGAATCGAAAGTTAAAGGTGACAAAAAGACAATCAACTTAACATAATCAGGCTTCTGACTGTTAACTTGAGCTTTGTGAATCAATGTAGGTTACCGAAATATCATCCTTACGATACTTGGAATCGATTGTTATAGAAATCAGAGGGCATTTTGCCGTCACTGAAATGTTTATATGTTTACATTTTTAAACTGTAAACATTTTGATTATTCAATAATTTTTCATTCTGCCTCTCTTCATGCCATAGTTTTTCTTCATCTTAACAACAAACTCAATTATTTGATTTTTTCTCTCTATCCTTTTTGCTAGTACAAGTTAAAACTTCAGTTTGTACACTTTGATTTAGTTTCTTTCTTTATTCTCCTTTCTCAATAATTTGTTTTACCGTTCAGCTTATACAGAAAGAACGAGTTAAATCTGAATGCCAGTTTTCAGTGACACTTTTGCAAACAGGCTACTTGGAGCATCCTAATTGATTCTGTCGACACTGAAACTGACTCAAATTAGAAGATACGAATAGTCAAAATATTAGGGCATTGACAGTGTGATAAACTCTTTTTTTATTTATAACGATAATCAATATCTAATCTTCCTATTATCACTAAGTGTCCTACATTTTATTTTTCTATCTTGATTAGTTATTAATCCATTATCTACTAAAAGATTTAAAATTTATGATTTAAGCATGAGCTCTTAGGATAAATTTGTTTCTTTAAGAAATTATTCTCATCGTGATGTTCTGAGTTTGTCTCCTCTGTTTCATATTCCATTTATTTCATGGATCAGAGTTTAAGGCTAAAAATATATTGGGACACCATAAATTTTAAATCTAACTACATAGACTGTGTGCCTGTTCAATAATCTGAAAGCCTGCATTTAAATGTTTATGATAAGTCTGTAAATCAAAATTCTAATAGTGTAAACAATGTTGGAAATTTTCAACATTTCTATAATACGACTTTTACTACTTTACATAATATAAGTAAGTGAAAAGTTTTACATAATAATTTAAATCATAAGAGAATGGTAACTGTTATAACATGTGATCCGCCTATTAGAGAGCAGCCTATTATCGATCGAAACAGTGACGCATAAAATACGAGCGAGCAGCCTAGAGCTCTGATTGGTCCGGTTTATTGTAATTTAAGATTTACAAAACTCTCACTAACCATTACATTCGCATAACATCTGTTCTTAAAATCGCTTATCACAGCAATCATTTGGATCAAATGTAATTACCTTCAAAACTCTAAGTAAACCGCATTTTTACATGGTTTCCTTTAATAGCCATCAAATATTTCAATAGCTTCTAGTAATCAGTAATGTTAAAGTTCTGACGCTGTAATTAAAATCCAGTTGAAGAAATTCGAAGTAAATAATTGATGAAACACTATGTAGGCTAGAGCAATATTCTTTAACAAATTAAACAAAACTACAAGGGGATTTAAAAACACTTCCATGAGTTTAAAACACAGCTGAACTCTTTTGGGAAATGAATTTGTTTTAAAATTCTAGTCACAGTATACTCTATGCGTTTAATGAAGCCAAATACGTGGTATTCAGGCCTTCTAGTTATCATCTTTTTATTTAGCTACTTGTCAGAATCCGATTTTGCTCATAGTTAAGCTAAAAATAGATGTCTGAAACCAACACTGAAAAATCACGGACAGTGAAGTAACAAAAACGAATAAAGGCAGAAGAGTAAATAATTACGGAAGTGTTCATTGTACTTGATAACACAGAAAATCTTGACAGATCTTACATTACCTGAAGATTTATATACATACACAGTGGTAAATAAGACTCGCTTACGATTTCAAAGAGTTTTTGAAGTATGAATTTAGTAATAAATGTCTTAGGATTATGAACGTACTTTCACAATTAATTTAACTACCATCACTCGCCTTACTATTGTGACTGTAAATAGTACTGTGTAAATGACTAGTTACTTTTTTATTCGGGAACTGATACATAAAAATTAGAATAACTCTGAGGATTTTATCCCTGCTCTTTAGTTAGTGAGTGCACAGTTCATCACATACTTTGTTTCATATTCTTTACAGCTGAAGCAACGAATCTGCGCATTGTATTTATCGTAAATCTACGTAAAGGACATGCTCATATACAATGAGTTCCAGAACAACCAAGTAGGAACTGAATGGATAACTTATTTGGATAATATGCAACAATTTTCTGATTACATTTATTTCACCTTTTACTTCTTGAACCCACTTTTATAGGTTCATCGTCTTAGACTTCGAAGTTCTGGACTGAAAGAGCAATTAAATAATCTAACACGTCGCAACGAAGAGTCAGATGTGGAAAGAAGACGTTTGTCTGAACAGTTGGCACGGTTAAGAGAAGAATTAGAAGTACAAAGTTTAGAAGTGGATAAATTATCTAGAGAAAGAGATAGAATTAAACAAACTTTAAGGTAACATGATAATCAACCAAATAAGTTTTCTTTCCTTCCCTATCTATACTACAAATACTAGCAATAATGTATACCTTAAACAATACTCATAATGAATTTGAAAGTAATTTTCATCATGAGATATTGTCACCTCAGGAGCTATTGGAAACCAAGTACAACTAATCAATGGTATTACTCTACTTTGAATTTTTTATCAATCTGCAGACACACAACCACACATGGTATCTAACTCGGGACGTTCTTACGTCAAGGTGACTATGATACCGTTGAACTTCAACGATATTAAATTACCCATATTCCAAATTTGCTCCATTTTGGATATAGCATACTGATCATCCAATCACATGGGTGAATCGTGGCCCCAGTCGTCGTATGACTGACTTTACAATTTATACTAGAACTTCGGGGAATTCCTTTCTTTATTCAGTCATTAGTGAACATATGGTTACTTTGCTGTTGTAAATCACAGTTACTTGTGTTATAGCATGATTTATAGAGTATTTTGATAAGATTACTAACGAAATATCTATCTATGTAACAGATTTGTCAAATAGATATTAGAAATTCAATAATAATTCAATGTAATTAATGCAAATTTCTGTTAATTCATTTAACATTCGACATCCTAAATGAAAGTAAGTTGCCTTTTTCATAACAGTAAATCATTTGTTATTGTATGGTTTAAATGAAACAAGTGCCCGAAATATAAATTCAGTAAGAGAGTTGTTGAACATCGACAGAAAAATATCTGTATCACATTTCAACGCTGTTTATTTCATTGTCTTTAATTATTGACATGGTTCTACAAAATACTCATCCTCTGTATCTATAATTCTATGTGAAATAGACTGTGTACACTACCACTTATCTACTTTTAAAATAACCTATTGTACAATAGCATTCGGTGTTACTTGATGTTTTTAAAGTTCATATAATAATTTTCTAAATCTTTTATTCTGAAATTCACTAACTCATATAGGATTATAATATTTTTTTGTGCTGAAATATACTATTAGTATGGAGTTGTTGAGATTACTACGTTTTTTTATTGAGATCATGAACCGATTGATGTTAGACCACCATCAAAAACCTGGAATCATTGGACGGCCGTTTCGTCCTATTGCGGGACTCCTCAGCAGTGCGCATCGACGATCCCACTTGCGGGAACCAAACCCAGGGCTTTCGATCTAACACGCAAACGCTTAAGCTCTAGACCACTGAGCCGGCGTCCAACGGTGTTAATGTCTAACCTCAACCACCAACCCACGATATTGCGCGACCATTTTTCATTTTACGGAGGTAGATACCTATCTCTCTCACGGTTTCTCACTAGAACTCTGAGAATTTTCTCAGGAAGCTAGACACTAATGAGCACATAGCAATTATCAGAATGGGGTTGTGGAGATTCTTAAGTTTTTGATTGAGATCATGAACCGATTCCAGGTTTTCAATGGTGGTCTAACATCAATAGGTTCATGATCCCAATAAAATATACCACTCTAGAACTCATATTTTTTTAAATATTAAAATAGATCAATGTATATTTATATAGAAACTAATCAAACTATTATCTTTGTTGCAAACTATTTCAATTTTGAAAATGTATTTTTAGTAAATTGAATTTTGAACATGACATTTAGAATTTCTTTCCTTTAGTTTAACTAAAGAGGAGCATGAAATGAGTGAATCAGCAAGACAAAATCTAAATGAACATGTACGGGAAATTGAAAGTGAATTAGATCGCCTTAAAACATCTTTGCATGATATGCGAAAACAACGCGATGAAGTAATCTCAGAACGTGACAATTTACAAACTGAACAAAATCGTACAGTAAGATTGTTAGTTTGTTTTTAAGAGTTTTTTTCACTCAATTTAAATTATAGTTTCGGAAAAGAATTAAAAAATATTTCAAATATCTTTATCAAATACAATGTAATGTTCACGTATAAACAATGGTATAAGAAGCTGTTTATATGTTTTTCTACTAAATAAATGAGAAGCGATCAGTGCAATGAACGGATACAAGAGATGAAACATTCACTGTATTCATTATATGTGAAAATTATATTTGAAATAATCTCAGCGATTGAAATTTAAATAATTCCAACGTTTCGTCCAGCTAACTTGTCTGGACTTCTTCAGGGTAATAATCGAAATCAAAATCATCAATCGGCGCCCAATTTCCATCAAACTATTCGTTCTAATCTCGACGAATATTCGTATAAATTCACTGTATTGCTTCTTAAAGAATGCACAAAATGTTTCCAGATTTTCTTAAGTGAAGAAGAAGTAATAAGATGTACAAAAATTGCATGATTATTAGGGTCTCAGTTGTCCGGAAACTAAATTTTGATCAGTCTTTGTCGATACACGTCCATCTTATGCCAATTGCCTCGATATAGCCATTATGTCACGAGTTATTTAAAACAGATGGATTATGGTTATCAGTTTGAAGCAATGTATAGTTACTTGATTAGGTGTATTTTCTTCCCCAAAATTGTAATGAAAATGTAGTTTAGATAATTCAGAATGAATTGGTAATGGCTAACAATGCAATATAGAACAAGCATTTTGTTCTATTTGAGACTCGTTAGATGGATATCTTGGCATGTTGATGTTAACGCTAAGATTTGAACCCAGTAACTCTTGCTTCAAGCTCTCAACGCGTTATCCACTGAGCTGTCAAACCTCTACATAAATCAATAATTTAAGAAATTAGGATTAATTTTCAATAATTATAATGGTCTTCGATATAAGTGTTGCCATCACCATCAATCATTGACAAGTCTCATCATATATATTATTTATTTGAATAATGAGTTTTTCAAACCTTCCAATTTGCATCAACCAACTTCAAGCATGTAGTACAATATAGATTTTAAATAATCACTTTCTTTGTTCAACACAATCTATGAAGAGGCATCCAAGACGTCGATTTCAAGTCCCCACATAACATTTATGAATGACATCTTTTACCAAACCACTACATATAATTTACTTTAACTACTAATTTATCAACAATGTGTAATCACAAACTATTTAATTAAACGAGTTTGCCTTAAATGTTCAGTCTGAAATCATCTATCCTGTTCTATCTATACAATTTGAAATGGAGGAGGGGCAGCTCATCAAGTTTAATGACAACAGCTCTAAACAAACATGTTTTAAAGTAAAATTAACCATCTGTACAATTACTAAGGTAATTCAACAACGATAAAGTTGTTTGAATGTCCTTCCAAATGTTGTATTATGTAAGTAATTAGTATACCAGATAAATGTGCAATATTTAGGTCATGTTGACAGAATCACTGAACTTAATTCAATCAACTTAGCAAACACTGAATCGCTTACTTTTAACAAAATATCCACTTACTAAAAAATTTATTGTTATGCAATTATCAGTGATTTGTTTAAATGAAAATTTGAAACTATTTAAAACAAACCTTTTGACATATAAGCGATGTGTTTATCTTTCTTGAAGAGACGATACATATCCATTATCGAAACGATTAAAGGATTAATTTCAAACAAAACATAAAATTTATGACAAATAACAGAAATAATGATATTTTTGTAAAATCTCAATTAATAGAAAACTGAATTTCTGGCGTTTCGCAACCTAGTATGAGTTGCTTCTTTAGCGAATGAATCATCAAATTAAATTAATACAAACTTAAATAGTACAAAGGAAATAGAGCAGAATATTTTTAGTGCTATCAAAAGATCTGACAATGTTAATGCCATATCGCTTCGGTCAAGACGGTTCTGTATAGACCTACTTGTGTGTATTTCTCTATAAGTGATTTATAGAAATTTAATATCTGTAAGAAGATACTTAAAGTATTTGTATATTAGTTAGTGGTGCGAGATGTGAACAGAGTTAAGTTTGTGGATATTTTTACAAATGAACCATGTTGGATAAATAGTTAGGGCTGCTTTCTCTACTGAACACGAAATAGGATACATGAACATGAATTTATAACGCATCCGTTTTTCAATGTTCATTGCATCTGAAGTATCAAGAATTCTTGGTCATTTTCCCATTCAGTTAGTAGATAATTGCTGCATATAAAAGCACTCTTTTCACAGTGGACTTCTTTTCATGCTCTAACTTTCCCTTTATTTGTTTTTTTTATTTGGCTAGTTGCGATGCGCCACGATGGCGTGTTCATAGAGGATAGATGTAGACGGCTTTGGATGTTTAAAATGAAACTCTTAGTAAAAATTACATTTCAATATGCAGCACTTACGCACTAAATAAAATGGAAAGATACTCGGTAATGCTAGATATTGCGCTTTTGTTGAATATTAAGAAGAGGATGAATAACCTCACAATTGAGTACAATAGATTTCGGTAATATATGAAAGCTCCAGCCACTTCCCTTTATTTGTAATAGGAAAAACTTTTTTTTTGTTGTTGATAATTTTAATATGTTTTAATATCGATTTGATTGATTAAGTTCTTAAGAAACTTTTTTTTATTGATACTCCTACAGAGTATTATGGTTGTTTTAACCAATGTTTCGTATTTAATTTTTAATCTTAATCAAGCTTCGTGAATTAGATGCTATACAAAAAACATTAGGTAGTACAGAACAACGTGCTGTAAACTTTCGAGAAGAATTGGCTACAATTCGTGAACAGTTAAGACGTGTTGAATTAGAAAAAGAAATATTAGATCAGGAGAAAAACGATGCAATTACAGCGGCTAGTAAAATTCAAGCTAAAATTGACGAATTAAATGAAGACCTCAACCAGGTAACCAAATAAATTTAATATTTCTTAATTAAAAGTTACTTGGTCATACATTGGAAGTTTGTGTTAGTAGACTACTTATTGAAGTTGCTATCATGCTATACTATCAACGAAGATGTAAAGCATATTCAAAAATGCATGTTTTATTAAGTCCAGATATAATAGACGTATCTAAAAGTCGACTCACTGAAACAATGTATGGTTTTAAACTGAGTTTAGATTTCTACATTGTTTTTCTTAAATTAGTTAAACACAACTTTATAAAGTGTCAGATGAATGCATGCCACTCTGATCAATTTTTTTCGAGAGATTAAGTGGCAATATGTGTTAGAATGTTGATCTCTTAAAGAATAGTATAGTATAGACAGAAATTTCTATCAAATAGTAAAAAATAATCAAAAGGAAACTCATATGAAATATTTCAACATTTGTCATTAAAAGTAAACTGAACATGGATGATGTAATATAACGTTTTATTCGTGAATTCAATCAACGATTTATTTTATCAAATTAATTACAGAAATTTGACAAACAACCAATAACACACATCTATCTGCTACATGTAAAGTTTTGGCAAACAAATTTCAGTTTACACTCAGATTAAATATATACTAATATATAAATTTGTGAGAGTCAGTCAATACCATAATAATAATGATCTGTCAGTCTTGGTTTTATGATCTTTTACTCGAACATAAGGTATGGTAACAGCACTAACAATGGGTCTCACTGTTACTTTGGTATTATCCTATGATTGTATAATACAACACTGTTGTTTATTAATATGCAGAATTTCAAGTAAGTTTTTTATAACGATAAATCTACTGGAATTCTGCCATTGAATCTATTTTATACATTTATAAGTAGTATTTAATCCCAGAGTCCTTGTTGGTTGAGAAAATATAAACAAGCGAGTATTTTAAATATGTAAAGTACTAGATAAATAAAATGATTATTAATACGTTGACGCCTACCTAAACCTATTTTTCTATTTAACTCAAGTTATCATTTACACATCATCTGTATACAGATCCTCAAATTTTCAAGTACATAGGATTACTCAAATATACTTTATTTATCTTATGAGCTCCAGATAAATATATATTCATTCATTGAATACTAACAATAAATTTCGAATTATTTGTCTGCTGTATCATTCTATCTCCTTACGATTGACTTTTTCATCAATATTAGAAACAGGAATAACCATTTCAATAACTAGTCAAAATCGTCATGTTCTAGTTCATAATGGGAAAATATTCTTAACTGGCATACCTAGTCTTTATTGTTTTGATTTCACATAGTATAATTTCGAATCGAAGAAATAATTAGATTGTAAAATAACTTTATATTCAGTACTTTCCCCGTCTAATTACTATGAAGTTTCTTTTCATTTCATGAATTGATATTAAGCGTTCGCGCGGAAGACCGATAGGTCTTGGGTTCGAATCTCGAGAGGCGGGATCGTGGATGCTTACTGCTGAGGAGTCCTACAATAGGACGAAACTGCCGTCCAGTGTTTTCATGTTTTCCTTAGTGATCTAGCTTCAACTGACTCATGATCTTAAACTATTAAAATTGATATTAGGTGAAAAATCCCTGTAAGTCAGAAAGTAATGCTCCGAGTTTTTTTTCTAATGATTTGAAAATCTTCAGCATTCGATCGATCATATGAGTAATAAACCTTTAGTTTTTATATAAAACAGTGAACAATTAAATTACGGAAGTAGTATGAACGAATAAAATTCAAAGAATTTTCCGTCAACAAAGAATATATTAATATCAGAAGGAGTTTTGTGGATATTATAGTAATTCTTTTAATAGTTGGGAACATGAGTCAATTGAAGCCAGACCACCATGGAAAACCTGGAGGCACTGGACGGTCGCTTCGTCCTACTGTGGGACTACTCAGCAGCTTCAATTGGCTCATGAATATATCATTTTAGTCGCTGTGAAGAAATGTATCGTTAATGTAAACGAATTTTATGATGACTAAAACAAATGATAAACCATTAGTTATGAATAATTTATCGTTTGAAAAAATGGTTTGTTAATACTTTCAAAGTTGAGTCATTTCGATGTAATGAAGAACACTTTCTGATAGCACTATCAAATTTATTTGACTTTTGATTGTTAGATTTTGATAGTGCTTGCTGTGACATATCGACTCATTTAACATAAACAACTAGATAATATATTTCGATACAAAGTAGATATCATTAAAAACCTCATGTAAGATCTTATTTGTATTTGTTATATTATGTTCCCTTCATCAAACATATTCGAAACCAGTGAGTTTAAATTTCTTTCTAAGAATACACTAGTCTTCAACCTTTGATGAAGATGGGATTGGTTTCATTGATATTATAAATTTACAACGTTTGTATGAAAAATACTTGATTCTTAATTAAATATAAGTTCCAAGCTTATATTATACAATATTATATAACACATACTTCGTTCCTATCGATATATATATGTATTATTTATTTAAGGCGCATAATAGAGAAAACCAGTATAAATCAAGAATCGCTAGGCTAGAAACAGTACTTGAGTCACAAGAACATGATGCTGAGCAATTAACTCATCAAATCTCTTTAACGCATGCTAAAGAATCTCGTTTAGCAGAAGAAAGAGCCAACCTTCGGGTAGAATTACAAGAACAAAGAGATGAATTAGAAAAATTATATTCTGAAAAATCCTTAACACAATCTGAATTAGAACAAGCACGAGAATCTACAATGCGCGCTGAGACAGCTAGATCACGACTAGAAGCTGAATTGGGTGACTTGGCTCGAGAAAGGATGACACTTACAGAATCATTATCTGAGGCTCAGAGACAAAAGGCATCTTTAATGGAAGATGTATCAACATTTCGAAGAGATTCTGAACGTCAAGAAGCCTTAATCATGAGACTAACAAACGAAAAAGAAGC